AGATAGATAGATAGATAGATAGATAGATAGATAGATAGATAGATAGATAAGCAGTTACTTTAATCTAAAAATTAAAAATATATTTTTTGTTTGTTTTATTTCATGCTCAAGAACAAAAAGAAACAGAGTATTTTTTTTTATTTAAATATTTTTCATTTTAATGAGTCATCTTTTATTTTTATTTTTTTACCCAAATGAATTGTATTTTGTTTTATACTATGGTAGAAAACCAACAGACTATAGTATATTTAAGTTATAACACTGGATGTTAAGCACTTTCCTGAGACGTTTTGTCTCTGTCCGGTGCCATCGGGTCGATCGGTGCTCCGCTCGTACTGCCTGCCTTCTTCGATCCATTGGATTGGACTTCCCGTTTCTCTCACATGTCTCATGTTTTGAGAGCAGCAAACATGGCGGCGCCCGCGAGTGAAGTGCAGGTTGTTTCTGTCAAAAAGCCCGCAGGTAAATATTATCGTTGTTTGAAGACTGTCCAAGCTCTAGAAACGTTTTTTGGAGGTTATCGATCTTCGTGTCTCGGAGAGATACAATTTTACCGGCATGTTTTTAGCAATGCTAAGAGAAGTGTAGCATCCCTGCTGTACTGTACTTGGCGAGGATGCTTTAACAACTGCAGTGTTTACGTTTAAATTAAACGTGTTTTTCAGGATATCGTGTTATTTACTACGGAAGAAGCATCAAGCATATTTCTTAAAACAATTTAATCTTCATTTCACAATTATGCTTAGTTTACATATTGCTCACCGCCTAATGCAAAGGAGTAATATGTTTTTGTCCTGCCTATCTCTTTCTCTGTGTGTGTGTCGTGTTTACAAAATATCTCATAAACATCTGTATGAAGCTTAATGAAATCATAAAAAAAGATAATTGGGTATTCAGCTATTTATAGGTAGAAGACAACAGCAACATCAAGTGCAAGTGATGGAGCTTGAAATAAGAATGAGATTGACACCATGAATGTGTCTGGACTGATTTCAAAATAAGGATTTCATAGTAATTTTAGTCTCAATTAATTGTTTAAATACATAAATAATTAACGATCAACCTTAAACATAACATGATTTAATATTTGTCTACTTTTGTTGAAACATATTAACAGAATTATATAACTCAATGAAAAATATGATCACGTGGAAAACACTAAAGATAATTTGAAAATGACTTAAAAATATTTCAACATTTGGCAATTACTTGAGGTAATGAGTTTAATTAGGCAGATAATTTAATAGACAGTAGTAATCAAACTAGTTTAAATAAAAGACTAATCTGGTTTCAATGGGAAACTGTTTTTACAGTTTTGTATCTGCCATGACAGGACATTGATCAAGCAATGTCAAGTTCTCAACGTTGGGTGCTGTCAATTAATTCCTTTATTTTTTGACAAAGCCTTCTAAAATTGTTTTATATTGTCAGATTTTTTTTCAAACGCTCCCGTACCCTCAAAGTAACATTACTACCCTCAAGTGTTCCTTAGGGAAGAACTCAACCATAGCAAAAATCCATTATGAATGCATTTTCTGATCCCATAATTTCATTTTATTTTTTTCCTTTCAGTAATGCTTTTTTAAAATTATTTTGCCTTTATCGCATTACTTTTAATATTTAAATGAGCTCACCCGGTGATGCTGTGCTTTGTAAGTTTGAGAGCCTCTGTAAAAATTTACCAAGAATGACTTTGACTCACGGCAGCACGGTGGCGCAACTGGTAGAGCTGCTGCCTCTCAGCGAGCAGGTCCTTGGTTCAAACCCCGGTCCAGGGGCCTTTCTGGGTGGAGTTTGCATGTTCTCTCCGTGCATGCGTGGGTTTTCTCCGGGTACTCCGGTTTCCTCCCACAGACCAAAAACATGCATGTTAGGCTGATTGGTAACTCTAAATTGTCCCTAGGTGTGAGTGAGAGTGAATGGTTGTTTGTCTCGTTTGTCTCTATGTGGCCCTGTGATGGACTTGCGACCCGTCCAGGGTGTACCCCGCCCCTCGCACAGTGATTGCTGGACACGGGCACCAGCGACCCCCGTGACCCAAAATGGAATAAGCGGGTAAAGATAATGTATGGATGGATGGACTTTGACTCACCCCGGGAAGAATTACGGTCTTTCCCATCTGATCATTGCTGCAGAGTTCCGCCTCTCATCTTGTACAGGAACATTGTTTTGGTGCTGCAGCATGTGTTAGTACATTCATTTCAGTAAAAGCAAAATATGAAACAGAAACTGGCGTTGTATACAAGTAAACTTTTAGAAGAAAAAAAAAGACAGCAACAACAAAAAAACATTTATGTCAGACCACTGAGCCACATGTGTAAGATTCAACAAAGACAAGGTATTGTTTCCAGCTACCCAGTCTGGAGAGTTCGGTAGGCTGGAGGGTCTTCAAAAACTCTGGACTGGAATTAAAAATAAATACTTTTGGGCATCATAATTGGAAAATATGCCTTTTATTTTTTTATTATTTTTTTAAAATGTGATAAAATAAATATTTTTATAGTAAAAAAACTGCTTTTTGGAGCGTTTTTTTTCTTCTAACATAAGGCCCTGAAATACAAACCGGATTCCAAAAAAGTTGGGACACTAAACAAATTGTGAATAAAAACTGAATGCAATGATGTGGAGGTGCCAACATCTAATATTTTATTCAGAATAGAACACAAATCACAGATCAAAAGTTTAAACTGAGAGAATGTATCATTTTAAGGGAAAAATCTGTTGTTTCCAAATTTCATGGCATCAACAAATCCCAAAAAAGTTGGGACAAGTCCATTTTTACCACTGTGTGGCATCCCCCCTTCTTCTTACAACACTCAACAGACGTCTGGGGACAGAGGAGACCAGTTTCTCAAGTTTAGAAATAGGAATGCTCTCCCATTCATGTCTAATACAGGCCTCTAACTGTTCAATCATCTTGGGCCTTCTTTGTCGCACCTTCCTGTTTATGATGCGCCAAATGTTCTCTATAGGTGAAAGATCTGGACTGCAGGCTGGCCATTTCAGTACCCGGATCCTTCTCCTACATAGCCATGATGTTGTGATTGCTGCAGAATGTGGTCTGGCATTATCGTGTTGAAAAATGCAGGGTCTTCCCTGAAAGAGATGACGTCTAGATGGGAGCATATGTTGTTCTAGAACCTGAACATAGTTCTCTGCATTAATGGTGCCTTTCCAGACATGCAAGCTGCCCATGCCACAAGTGCTCATGCAACCCCATACCATCAGTGATGCAGGCTTCTGAACAGAGCGTTGATAACAACTTGGGCTATCCTTGTCCTCTCTGGTCTGGATGACATGGCGTCCCAGTGTTCCATAAAGAACTTCAAATCGTGACTCATCTGACCACAGAACAGTCTTCCATTTTGCCACACTCCATTTTAAATGACCCCTGGCCCAGTGCAAACGTCTGAGCTTGTGGAGCTTGCTTAGAAATGGCTTCCTCTTTGCACTGTAGAGTTTCAGCTGGCAACGGCAGATGGCACGGTGGATTGTGTTCACTGACGATGCTTTCTGTTAGTATTCCTGAGCCCATTCTGTTATTTCCTTGACAGTGGCATTTCTGTTTCAGGTGCAGTGACATTGAAGGGCCCGGAGATCACGAGCATCCAGTAGAGTTTTACAGCCTTGACCCTTACGCACAGCGATTGTTCCAGATTCTCTGAATCTTTTGATGTTATGCACGGTTGATGATGATAACTTAAAAGTCTTTGCTGTTTTACGCTGGGTAACACCATTCTGGTATTGCTGCACTATCTTTCTGCGCAACAATGGTGGAATTGGTGATCCTCTTACCATCTTGGCTTCTGAGAGACACTGACACTCTGAGAAGCTCTTTTTTATACCCAATCATGTTGTCAATTGACCTAATTAGTGTTTATTGGTCTTCCAGCTGTTTGTTATATGCTCAATTTCCTTTTTCCAGCCACTTATTGCTACTTGTCCCAACTTTTTTGGGATTTGTTGACACTGTGAAAATTTGAATCAACATGTTTTTCCTTTAAAATGTTACATTTACTCAGATTAAACTTTTGATCTGTCATCTAGGTTATATTACGAATAAAATATTTACATTTGCCATCTCCACATCATTGCATTCAGTTTTTTTTCACAATTTGTTTAGTGTCCCAACTATATATATATATATTTAGTGTGGGAAATATAATAAATAATTTTATTTTTAAGCAGTTATGTAAGGTAGTCTATTTCCCCATTGAACATCACTAAATGTAATCAAATTAAAGGACCTTTTGAGAGCTAAGCTTGTCAGTTTTACAGATAATGAGCTACAATTGGACTTGATAGCAGCTAAGGCAAATCCACAACAGTTTCAGAGTGCTACTCTTTGTCATCTCTTTGCTTAACAGTTTGACACTAACTGTTGGTGTCAACCTTGATATTGCAATTTTTGACTAAAACAGTTTGAACATCATCTCTCTCAACCCAAGATGATCTAAAGTTTAATGCTGACGTAAAACGACAGCAAGTAGTTTGCAAGGAAAGCTTGGCCTTTAATTAAATTAATGTTTTTCCTCTGTTTTGACTCATTTTTCATAAGTCTTAAATAAAATAAAGCATGAAATGTTTGTAAATGGTGCATTAGGAAATTGCCTTGTTGTTTACATTGTGATACTAACATTTCACCAGATCATTGAACACAAATGAAACAAAGTTCCTTACTGATTTAATTTCTTTTTTCCACAATCATTTATAATAATCTTCTCTGTTTTTCAACTTTGGGTGGTCCATAGTGTATGTGCTCGTAAAGTTTGGATATGTGTAAACGCCTTTTGTGTCAAGTGAATTTTGTATGCTTCAACATGTGTTTTCTGCACGGCTAACAGCTCGGTAATCAAATTTTCTTTCCAGTCCGAGGCCCACGGCGGGTTGCCAATCAGATTCCAAATGAAATCCTCCAAGACCCCGAGCTGCAGGAAGCAATCAAAAGCCTGCCTTCAAATTACAACTTTGAGATCCACAAGACCGTTTGGAGAGTGAGACAAGCAAAAGCTACAAGAGGTGATTCGTCTTTACAGGCTTTAATCGGTTTATTTTATTTTAACAAATGCAATTGTAGCAAATTTCAAATGAAGAAATGTTGTAAGTTACATGTTGTAGCCCTTGTAGAATATGTTCGAACTCAAGATGATAAAAGATTTTAACGGTGTAGCATTTTCATGAAAAATAAAAAAACCTAATCAAATAATTAAAAGGTGAGGGAAGTCATTTATTTCAGCAACTTCTAAATAAAATTACCACCAGTGTTGACCAGAGCTAACAATGAGCTTACAGTTTAAACTGGTCACAGAATAGCACAGGATTGGTTTGTTCATGTGCTTTACCAAAAGCATTTTTAGAATAAAGCTTATTAAAATGTTCAGCTTCTTTAGGACATTCTTGCTGTGACGTTTGGTATTTGTTCAGTTTTAACTTTTTGAAATATTTAGCTTTGTCTGCCATGTTTTTCTCATTGAGGATGAACTCTCCACAACCTTCAAAAACCTTTTAATGCTCATTTCAGCTTTTGGTTAGCTTTTGCAGTTTTTTGTTCTAATTTCAGCGTTCTACAGCTCCTTTCTATTTTCTTCAGCTTCTTTCTGCTCATTTATGCTTTTTTGTGCTATTTTCATTATATTTTTCAGCTTCTTTCTTCTAAATTCAGCTGTTTTGAAGGTTTTTGAGTTACTGTTTCTTCCAAATTTGAGATTTTTCTGCTCATTTCAGTTTCCTTTTTGCTAATTTCAAATATTTTGTAATCTATTCAGCCTTCCTCTGCCTATTTCAGCTTGTTCTGCTCATTTCTGCTACATTTCTGCTCTGTTCTGCTGCTTTTCTGCTGATTTGCAGATTTTTTCCCCCCCTGCAAATGTCAGTTGTTCAAATTCAACTCGCATTAACAGTTTAGAGATGAAACTTTTTCAGCCTGGTATCAACTTCTTCAGTAGCTTTCAGCAAAAAAAAAAAAAAAAAAAAAAATTCAACAAACATTCACACTGCATTTTCGCAGATGTTATGTCTTTAGTTGAAAATGGTCTTTTGCTGAATTAAATTGAGCAAATTATATCAACAACACAAACTCTGTATATAGATGTTTGTTTTTAAAACTATTTATGCTCCAGTGTGTTTTACAGTTGACTAAATCACTCAATTTTTAAATGGAAAGTGTGTTCGTTTTTTTTTTTTTGATCTAGTAAAGACGAAGTCCCCGCACACAGACCCCAAGGAGTTGTGCTTGTGTTATTTACAGATTTGGGAAACTGTTCTCTGACTTAAACGACTTGTGTCCAAATCTGAATTTTTTCCATCTCATAATTCATATAAAGAAATTTGTGCACAAGATAAATGTTCCTTCACAGTGACGGCAAAGTGCTGGAAAAACCTCATCTTGTAAGAGTGAGACTCACTGCAGCTCCAAGATGGCCGCCAATCATCATCAGCTGACGGCCATCCACCTGATGAGCTACTACCATATTTAAGGCTGCAGTCAAGTCCTACTCTTCGCTGGAGCATTGTTCCCTTATTACGGTACTGATGCTTCCAGCCAGTCTTGTATTTATGCTAAGAAATACTTACCTTGTTTTTGTGTGCCTACAGCCATCTTGTTTCGACCTTCCACGTTTGGATTCGTGTTTTTGGTGCCTTGTTCTCCTGCCACGTGCCTGACCTGCCTCTCCTCTGTGATTCAGTTGGATTCCTTCAGGACACCTTCACATCCTCCATCTGTAAGACCAAACAAAGAAATTGAACATTACATACGACAACTCCTTGGCCTATCCCTTCCTGACGTTTACACTTCCTCCTTCAGGGATTCCAGAGGAACCATCTTGTAAATTTGTAAATATCACTGTAAATAATAAACATTGTCACTTTTCTACTTCGCCTTGTGTCGTTTCGGGTCTCGTTGCCAACTGGGTTGCCCTTAAACATAACAGAATGCTCCAGCCTAACAAAACCCAGAACGAGACCAGGAGCGAACAAGCCTCCTCCTCACAGACGGAGAGAATTGAAAAATTAGAGGAAATGTTGAAACAAGTGCTAAGCCAACAGCTCCAGACTCAAACAAATTTTCAGGAACTTGGAGGTATGGTTTTTACTATGAACCAGAGACTCTCTACTTCTCCCTCCACAACTTCTGCACCCCCAGCAGACACCAGCTCTGCTAATATTGGTACTGTAAATCATGCTGTTTTTTCACAACAACTTTTGGTAAAACCATCCGAATTCTTTTCAGGAGATCCAGCTCAATGTGAGGGTTTCCTCCTCCAGTGCAAACTCGCTTTTGGAGGAGCTCCTCAGCTTTATTCATCAGACGCCACCAAGATTACGTACCTCATCAGCCAACTAAAAGGTAACGCTCTCCAGTGGGCGACCTCTTTCTTTCGCCACCGTAGTGTGGATTCCGTTACGTTCAGCATGTTTTTGGAAGAGTTCCGCAGGATTTTTGATCGGCCGCTACAACAACCAAACGCAGAGAAGCGTTTGTTGGGGTTACGTCAGGGCCGACTTCCGGTTGCCACGCACGCCTTGGAGTTCCGCATCCTCGCAGCCCAAACGGAATGGAACGACAGGGCATTACAAGGTACTTTTTTAAATTCATTATCCGACCACATTAAAGACCAGATTGCAGCACGAGACGAGCCACCCAACTTTGACGCATTAATAAATCTTGCCATCGCTATTGATGAACGTTTCCGGGAGAGACACCGGGAGCGGGACTACAACTCCCAGAGGGGTTCCACTTCCGGGTTTCCTACGTCATCAGCAGGGGCTTACCACTCCAAAGCAAAATTTGAGAGACACAACCCTCGTAGTCCTCTAGTGCCATCTACTGGTTTCTCACTATCATTACCTGAATCTGAACCCATGCAGATTGGGACTACGCGTTTAACATTCACTGAGAGACAGAGACGCAAGGATCACAACCTTTGTTTTTACTGTGGGAAAGAGGGTCACTTTGTTGCCGCGTGTTCGTTTCAGGGAAACGAGAACAACCACCAGTAAAGAGGGAGTTACTGGTGGGCATATCATCTTTTTCTCCCCCCCGCAGGTTCACATTACCCACCATAATTCAACTAAACAGTAACCGGTTTCCTGTATCTGCACTAATTGACTCTGGTGCAGAACAAAACCTTATTAGCCAAGATTTAGTAAAGAATTTTTCTCTCCTCGTCATTGACATAGACACTATATCCATTGCTGGAGTTACCGGCGAGGCTCTAGCCCAAATTAAATTTAGGACCACCGAGTTACATTTAATTACTTCTGGAAATCATCATGAGGAGATTAGTTTTTTTGTATTTGATTCACCAAACACGCAATTAATTTTAGGATTCCCCTGGCTACGGGCTCACAATCCTCACTTTAATTGGGAACTTGGAAGGATTGAAAAATGGAGCGACAGGTGTCTAAAACACTGTCTCCGCTCGGGTATAACAAATCCTTCAATAAAGATAACTACTATTGAAGACGTTGACCTCTCCAACATTCCCGTCGAATATCACGACCTCTCTCCGGTATTTAACAAACATAAAGCCTTGTCTTTACCTCCTCATCGTCCATATGACTGCTCCATTGACCTTCTACCAGGAGCTACACTACCAACTAGCCGTCTTTTCCATCTGTCGGGCCCTGAACGTAGCACCATGCAAGCTTACATTGAGGAGTCCCTTGATTCCGGAATTATCCGTCCATCAACCTCTCCAGTAGGGGCAGGTTTCTTTTTTGTTTCCAAGAAGGACAAGACGTTACGTCCATGCATCGATTATCGAGGACTAAACCACATAACCATAAAGAACAAGTATCCGCTACCGTTAATAGACTCTATCCACGAACAGTTACTGACCGCTACCATCTTCACCAAACTGGACCTTCGCAACGCTTATCATCTCGTCCGGATCAAGGAGGGTGATGAATGGAAAACAGCTTTCAAGACACCTATGGGACACTTTGAATATCTTGTTATGCCATTTGGTCTCACCAATGCTCCCGCTGTTTTTCAGGCACTGATTAATGACGTATTAAGAGATTTTATTGGACACTTTGTATTTGTTTATTTAGATGATATTCTCATCTACTCGAGGAACAAGCAAGATCATGTCTCACAAGTCAGAATGGTACTTCAAAGGCTGTATGAGAACCAACTCTTTGTGAAAGGTGAAAAATGTGATTTCCACACCACCTCCGTCTCATTTTTGGGGTTTATCTTCGGGGAGGGGCACTACAGGACCGACCCAGAAAAGACTAAGGCGGTGGTGGAGTGGCCAGTACCGGACACCAGGAAGCAGTTGCAACGCTTCCTAGGTTTTGCCAACTTCTATAGGCGTTTCATCAAGGACTACAGCCGTATCGCAGCACCTCTCTCCCAGCTCACTTCCACCAACAGAACTTTTCAATGGACCCCGGAAGCCAACTCTGCATTTTGTAAGTTAAAACATCTTTTCTCTTCTGCTCCCATCCTCTGCCATCCAGACCCAGCTCGTCAGTTTATCCTGGAGGTGGATGCATCTGACACCGGAGTCGGCGCAATATTATCTCAGAGATCACCCAAGGACAATAAGGTACATCCTTGTGCTTTCTTTTCTCGTCGTTTGTCGCCGGCAGAGAAAAACTATGATGTGGGCAATAGGGAATTACTGGCTGTGAAATTGGCATTGGAGGAGTGGCGTCACTGGCTTGAGGGCACTGAGGTACCTTTTCTCATATGGACAGACCACAAAAATCTCACATATCTCAAAGACGCAAAACGATTGAACCCCAGGCAGGCACGTTGGTCACTTTTTTTCACCCGTTTCAATTATTTGCTGACATTCAGACCTGGATCCAAGAATGTCAAACCCGACGCTTTGTCTCGCCAGTTTTCTCCTCCAGAAGCCCCGGAGTCCGAGGAGAGCATCCTGCCTCCAGTTTGCATCATTGGAGCCCTCACCTGGCCCATTGCCAAGGAGGTTCAACGAGCTCATCAATTGGAACCAGATCCAGGCACAGGCCCTCCTGGCACACTTTTCGTCCCCTCGTCAATG